GTAGCCACTTCCCAGAAAGGCTTGATTTCCCTAGAGCCAGCAGTATGAACATCCAGAGCGCCAGCACTCGCATGCAGTGGTGAGAAAATCCCTACCTCATCATCAGCATATACATCCTGTCTCCAACTGCCAGTTCTCACAAAGAGAGGAGGCTGTGAGCACCCACCAAGGGTCAGGTGAACCCACTTGGTGAGGTCTGGCAGCACAAGGCTTGATTTAGCCCCCTGGGCCTTGGGTGAGGGGCACGTTTTTGGCACATCAATTCTTTCAGCTTCGAACCAAAGCTGTGGGGGGAAAGGAGCAGGCCAGCTACCAGGGCTCAGGCAGCAGAGCAGCATCTGCCAATTCATTCAGCACTGCTGGCCCATGCAGTAACATGGCACGTTGCTGTTCCATGTTTGGAGACAGTTTATACTGGAATAGGAGCAGTCTTCTTGGGTAAAATGATTATTTTTTTCCTCCACGAGAGCTCATGACTTTTTTTAAAGAGAACTCTGCACACTTAAAATTGCCTGAGCACAAGAGGATGAGACGTGCTGCAGCTTGTCTGGGCAGTGGGGACTCTCCACAGTACTTTTGCGGATACTGACTTGAAAACAAGGATTAAAACATGGCTGGGAAGGGGCTGAAGCAGTCAGAGGTGAACAGTTACCATGCACTTTGGACCCAGGAGTCAGAGTATGCCCAAAGAGATGTTCATGCTCTGCTTTCCCAGGCAAACTGCAGCCTCTTTTCTGAAAGCTGAATCCAGATTTTTAGACATCAGAAGAATCACTCTGGTATTGGAGCCTGATCAAGCACAAAAACCATCCTCAGCCTTCACAAAAATACCAGATGGCTGCAGATGCCAGCTCCTTTGGCCAGGGAGCTCTTTCAGAGAAAAGGCCAGCTTGTTGTGCAAGTGCTGCATCCCAGATAAAGCTCCTCCGAGCAGCAAAGAGCCATGGAGAAACCCTTGGAGGAGAAGCATTGAAGCCAATGCATTCCAGTAACATCAGATTTTCAAGGCTATACATACGTTGATATCCAAATATGTTCTTCTCTAGAGGGAACAGGGACCTACAGAAGTGACTCTGGCTGCGGAAACACTCTTACGAGTTTCTGAGCAGTCGTGTGCATTTGAAGAAGGCAAAAATGAGCGCCAGTTAGAGCTGCCAAATAATTAGAAACAAATTAAAAAAACATGTCTGGGAATGTAAGAGAAGATAATTCTGTCTCTAAATGGCGAGTTTGGTCTTTGAAATACCAAGCAAGACCCCACCTGCCATGCTGTGTCCAGCTCTGGAGTCCTCAGCACAGGAAATACATGGGCCTGTTGGAGCAGGTCCAGAGGAGAGCCCCAAAAATGATCATAGGGATGGAACACCTCTCCTGTGAGGAAAGGCTGAGAGAGTTGGGGTTGTTCAGCTTGGAGAAGAGAAGGCTCCAGGGAGACCTTATTGCAGCTGGTCAATATCTGAAAGGGGCTTATAAGAAAGAAGGGGACAAACTCTTGCAGGGCCTGTTGTGATAGAACAAGGGGTGATGGCAATGTGATCTCTGGTTCTCTGGAAGATCATCGTGGTTTTGCCTCTGCACAAATTAATATTCTCTCTTTTGGCTGCTACACAGAAATGTGTGCAAAGAACAAACACAATCTCTTCCATAAACAGGTCTGTGAGAGGGTTTATGCACCATTGAAGACTTCAGAACTGAATGTGACACACACAACTCCTGCAACCTTCACAACAGAAGAAATGTCACCCTTTGTGTGGTGACTCCACTTCTGAAGACCACTTACTGCAAGAAAACCAAACCAGCAGCCAACAATGAAATCAGCACGCACTGGGATTGCTTGATCCTCTTGCCACAGCTCTTGTTTTCCACCAACAGCTGAACAGGTAACATGGTGGCAGTCTGTGCTCACTTAAGCATCAAGGATTCGGAGTTCAAACGACTCATATGATTCCACAACTTCAGCACCCATTGCCACAAAGCAGGAGAACTGCTTAAGAGAGCTTGCAGTAATCCCATACACACACTAAAGCCTGGTCAGCTACGTGGGCCTTGCAAAAAACCTGGAGGTAAAATCAGTTTCTATTTAAAAAAAAAAAAGTATTTTCTGTTTTTTTTTCTTTTGTCTTAGGAGTCCTAAGATGGCTGCAACACAATTAAAACCAACTGAAAAAAGAATGACAATGAGGAGTGGTGAGATGCTCTTTTCTGGGGAGTGTGGGCTGGTAACGTCCTTCTGGAAGAACCTCAGAGAGAGTGGTCAATTTTGATTACTACATAATGTGAGTAATTCTCTGGAAAGACGAGTTCTCCCCGCCTGAATCATAGCAAAAGGGGGAAAAATAACACACTTCAAAAATGGAAAGCTGGACAGCCCTTGGATGCTGGGAGCCGCCCAAGATTCCCGTATGGGGGCCACCACAGCGAATCTGCACGGAATGAGTCCACTAGCCCTGGGATGATGGCTCTTGGCTTCAAAGCCAAGCTTGGACCACAGCATACCTACTCATGTGGCCACCCAGAGCTCTGGTGGATACCCTAGGTAGTGTCGCACTAATGACGTGCTAAATATCTTTTCCTCACCCAGAAGCCATACTCTCTAGTCCTTCAACTCATGCATTCACCCTGATGCAGGAGATACAGGTGGTTCCTTTGGAGGCTCTGCCTTCTCTGAGAACATTGTCCTCAGTGTAGTTCTCCTTGGCCAGCCCATAGCAGGAGCACAAGCCATGGCAGCAGCACAGTACGTCTCTGGTGCCAAAAATGGCAGGGCCATGGGCTTTGTCTGTAATACTGGGGGGAAAAAGGAAGAGCACTAGTATTTGAGTCTTCTTCCCCATGTCCCCCCACTGGTTGCACACCAGCCTCATCAGCAGTCCTACAGGTTTTGAGGCTCTACACAGGGTCACCACAACCAGCAAATCAGCTGGTCTCATATTCCATGTGCTCTTAAATGTCCTCCGATACTGGCATCTAAACAGCAGCATGAAAGTCCAAGACACACCTTGAACCCCTACTTCTTTATAGAGACATATATGGTTACATTTAAACACTTCTTTTCCTTCATGCTAATCCTCCAGAAAACCAGTTTGGTTTCCATTACTATATATAGCACTGGGATTCTTGGTCTATTTTTTGTCCCTTTGCATCTGATTATTTTCAGTAGAGTGCAAGCTTTTTATGATATGCAGATTTTAACTAGAACATGACTTCTATTCATTCAGACTTCCATTATTAATAAACCCACAATAGCTGCATATAATGTAGAAGAATTTTATTCATACCATAATCCTGTCCCATCATCCACTGCAAATATTACAATGATCTTTAAAATGTCATGGTGGATCATTTTGTTCCACTTAAAGCAAAGGAAACCTGGTGTTAAATGGTTACACTTCTCTTGAGATTGCTTATAACAGAACCATAATTCCAATGTATTTTCCATAAGCTGTAAAGATTTAAAGCAAAGAATGTGTGTGTTGTGTGTGCGCTTGGGTAACTTCTAAACAGTGAGGCTAATATTTGGTGTTTAACAACAAATGTCTGTCTTGCATATTATATCACAATTTTTTACCAATACAACAGAAATGCAAATAGGTAAAAGAACATACATGAGTGACCAGTAACCTTTAAAAAATATATTAAAAAAAATGGCACAAGAGAATACAAAAATGGTGAAGCAAATCAGTTTTGCAAACACATATACATTTATCTCTCTACGTAATGGGGGGTTTGCCTCTATAAATGTATGTGATAAAAACTGCAAGGTTGAAAAACGTGAATGGTCATATTTCATAACACATGCAAGAAGCATAACAGAACCATAATAAATAGTAGCAACGACCATACACTGACAGGACCACTGGAAATCTGCCAAAATAAAGTAAGCACCTTGAAGTGATGAGAGGATTCTGAAGTGGAGAAGCAGGCAGCTCTGCAAAACCCACTGTGGGCAGCTACTGGAGTCCTGGGCCCTCTTAGCAGGAGTCAATAGGAAAGTCCCAAGACAGTGTTTGTTAGTTTCAAGGAATAAAACACATTACATATCAGTAGGAGTAATTTTTACCATGTTCTTCCCTAGTATCTAGTCTTAAAAAGGAGACTGCTGCCTTGTTTCATTGCATAACCTCTGGCGTGTCCAAGGCGTGGAAAGTTTGGACTTCCCCAAAAGAATGTCATCATAAAGAAGAAATAGAATTTTGCCACAGAAAAAAAAAAGAAAAAGAAAAAGAAAAAGTGGGTAGCTGAGATGCAGACCTTTACTGCTATTAGCAAAGAGAAGTTTTCCTCTAAAGGAAAAGCTTCCCAAAGAATAAACTAAATGCTCCCATTCTTGAGGGCTATACAGCAAAGCAAGGTCTGGATCTGCAAAAAGGTCCAGTCAGGAGAAGGCCCATGCTTAGGCAGGGCAGTTACAGCTGCCAGTGAGGCTGCACAAAAGAAAGGCATATGAATTTTATTAAGTGGACCTTACTAAAAATAACCTGGTGTTGTTGCCTCTGATATACACCTTGCACCATGTCTTCCACATTTCATATAATATTCAGAGAAGTGGCTGAGGGACACTCTGCTGCAGGTCAGTATCTTTCAAGCCCACTTAATTCAGCAGTGAAGTTCCTGTTGGATTTCTAAGGGATGTAATGCAAATCCTTATTTAAAAAAAAAAAAAAAAAAAAGCTGAGAACAAATAAGTTAGGCCCAAAAGGCTCCATCTGAATTCTTAAAACACGTTGTTCCTTGACCCCTTCACCCAGAACAGTGGAGTTGGCTGTTTGACTTAGCATATCCCACAAAGGAGACCTGAGAGGGCTTGTAATACAGAGGAGTATGGCTCCTGTATCTATACAGAATGACTAAAAAGCTCTACTTTTCTCTGGCGTTTTGGAATGACCAAAATCTTCCCTCTTAAACTATGTGACTGCCACTCACCCTGTGGGATTTTGGAAACCTCCAGTCCACAACCAGTGAAAAGGCTTTTAAAAGTGACAGGCAGAGGGACATTGCTTGATCAAAGAAGCTTGGCAAAAGAGGAATAAGACCAGCTACAAAGATCATAAGAGAAATACAAATTCATGTTAATTTTAAATAGTTAAAAACACAGTTTTAACCTATATGATCCAACAAGAGGTAAAAATCTCGCCTGCAAGCCAAGAGGCTAATCTTCCCCAAAGCCAGTCTTATCCAAACAGTTGTCTTCCTTCTTGCATGGTATATGAGATTTGAACTGACATCCAGTACGTGACATAAACAGAAAAAAATACCCATAAGATGCACATCTTTTATTTTTTTTTCTTCATGAAACTACAGAGCTGCACAGAGCAAATTTAAGTGCACAAGGTCACACGAAGGCAGCTTTCCAGAAGGATCATTTTAGACGCTGATGGAAATGAAACTGTTGTATCTCTGAATGTTTCTCTTGAGGATTTCAGAGCAAGGACCCAGCACTCGTTCAAAGCGGGGCCGATCCAGCTTCACACACTTCAGGGGTCCACGTGCCACCACGGTGGCAGCCCGGGGCCGATTGAGCAGTAAGGCTATCTCACCTGGAAACAGGAATAAATCTGCTGTCACACACCCTTTGCCTCTTTTTTGGAGGGTGCATTTTCTAGCCACCATCCAGATGCTCTGGTTGTAGAACATCTCCCTTTACATGTCTCTTGATAGACACTTTGTATAATTCTGTTGACAGTACAAATGCATTACACATGCATAATGCATACGTGTAAAATGCCTTTGAAAACAAATGCTTTCAGACTGTTTTGCTTCTTTTGGATCTGTCTTCTGTTGGCTACACTGGTGTAAACCAAGGAACTGTTTCAGCTTCACTGAAATCTCTCAGTTTTGCTGAAAGCAGTGGCTGACCTACACATAACCTCTCACATTTAAAAGAGTAGAATGATAATTAAGACAGTGACTACTTGATACAGCTCCACATGCCTGTCTTTCTGAACCATACTTAAGTTGAATTTTCTTACCAAAATAATCTGATGGACCAAGTCTTCCAACTTCAACGTACTCCTCGTTGTCAGACCTGCGCTGCAGGACAGAAGCTGTGCCCTGGGAAGAGATGTGAGGAAAGTTAGTTGGTTTTGTTTAACCCTGTGATGGTCTAAAAAGCATCAAGACCTGAGTATTTCCTTTTGCATGTCACACTTTTTTAGTTCTGCTAAGGGAGAGATGACATCGATTCCTGACATATGAATGAAAGGAATTAAAGAATAAAAAAAAATATGACAAACAATTCCTCTGTTATGAATTTTTTGGATGCACACAGATTCAGCTCATACAGAAGAGAAAAGGAACAGGACAGAACTCAGTAACCCTTATTTAACTAATACACATCATGCTGTGCAAATGTATGTTTAAATATAATTTTAAAATGTGCTCTGGGTGGATGCAGAACCTTACAAGAGACACAGAAGAGATTTATATCAAAAGGAATAAAAAGGCAGTTTTCCCAGTCAGAATCTTGGGACATAATTTTGTAAAACAGCAACTAGAGTTTATTCCTCACCTGACCATTCACTGGATGTATTGCTGGAATGGTTGGTAAAGAGAGTTTTTCATGCTTACTGCAATAAATGGTGATATACATCTTTTTAGTGGCTTTGCCCACTTGTGGCCTTTAGTGCTCTGGACACCTGCGAGTCAGTTGCTGGAGAGATGGAATGTGTCTTGTCTCCACTGTCCTTAATAACTGCTGCACTTGACATGTGCTAATACATGTCAAAACTCAGCTACAGTCTATTTAAACCTTCAAAGCGGTTTTACATGCAGAAATATTCTAACCTGGAGGAAATCTTAAATTATTGTGGCATAAAGCTTTTGTAGAGGAACAGAGAAGGCATCTGCTTTTCTGGAAAAAAAATACAGTAGCACATGAAATTATCTTCTGAGCCTAAGCCAAATCCATAGGGAAAGGAAAAATGTTAACATATTTTGATTTTAACTGAAATTAAACAGATTTTTAAAAGCCAAGATTTTTAAATAGACTAGAGAGCCATTTTTGACAGTGCAGTTGGAAAGATGTTTTGACTTTTTAAAAGATTTACGTAAGTAATACGTGAAGGCTGATCCTGCCCTAGCCCAGACAGGGAAAGGGAGGAGACAGTAATGTGGCCTATGCATGGAAGGTTGATGCCAGTTATTGGAAAAGATCACAGCCCTCCCTCTGCAGTCCAACACCCAAGTGTTCCATTACTGGACTCACTGGCACTGGCAGTGCCTGCAAGGGGCTGCAGAAACCCCAGCCTGGAGCATAAACCTCCCTCTGGCTTTACTTCGCTGGCTGCAAACATCCTGCGTCTTTCTTCCACCAAAATAAACTTGTGTGGTTATGGTGGTGGGCAAGAGGAGACACTGAGCATCCTGCATCACCTGGGCTTCAACGCAGTTAGAGGCACTCAGCACTCCGCAGGACTGGCCCTTCACCTTTCCACTATGTTTAAATACACTCGATAGCATCCCAAACATCATGGAACTGAAAATCTGAACAGCAATGTAAGGCTGCTTCAGGTCTGGCTTTCACTTTTCTAGGACTTGGGGGCCGAGGAATGACCAAGAGTGGTGGAATATCCTCTGCTAAGTAGCAAGCTAACATAATTTGCTTCCTTCTGAACAACCACAACTCAGCTGCTGTAACACTGCTGTGTTGCATCATGTCCTATTTCATAACAGGGTTATTTTTAAGCCCATATACTTTACAAATTGTTCTAAGTTAGCTTATAATGTAACCTTTGCATGCAACATAAATGGAATGGTTAATTTTATTTCTGATGATGCCAGGAACCAGAAACAAAAAATCAAATATTGTGCATGTATTGTTTGATATATGCTAAGCATCTGATGGTTCTTATACATATGGAGGTACATTGAATTAATCTGGCTCATTAAAAGTTATAATTTCTCATTTTGCCCATTAGCAGTAACCTGTGCTTAATGTAAAACCCTATATATCAGACTGTCAACATATTACATTGGTCACAAGAATTTACCCTTCACCCCATCTGCTAAATGCAGTATCAGTATTACAAAAATACTGGAGAAACAGCAGGGCTGTAAATTCAGATCCATTTGAAAACAATCACAAAACTCTTCTCAGCTTCAATGCTTGCACTCTTCATATGCCAGACAGCTGATAGCAGAAAGTGCAGAACCATGAACAAAGGTACCTGAACTGGGCAAGGCTGTTAAAAAATAAGCCAAACATACAGGGAATGGTTGGTTTTGGTCTTTTGTGGGGTTTGTTTGGGGTTTTATCTACCACTAAAACATTCCATGCACATAAAACTGTCCATAGCAAGTGTAAGGCTATCCACAGAAGTAACTGAAAGGACTGGGATGTAAGAAAATGATTTGGTGCCTGTCAAGTTTCCAGCAAGAATTCCTTATCCTTGATATAACTAAACTGTTCCGCCAAAGCTGCTGTTTTCCAAGATCTTCCAGTAAATCTGCAAGGGCATGAAAATGCAAAGATAGTGTGATGAGTTTTGCTATTCACACTCACTGCAAATTTTCAGAACAAACAACACATTCATGAGCAGCATTCCTGGAAATACCCCATACAGGGAGTATGTATGGAACTGTCTCCTTCAAACTTCCTTCAGACTGCCAAACTTCAGGTCAGGTGCAGCTCACTACACTGATGTTGTTCTTCTTGGTGTGCAGCGTTGATGGATTCAGCTTCAGAATCACTTCCAGCTCCTGTTCTCCTCTCCGTCCCCATCTGGAGCCTGGCAAAAACCTAACCCCTTGACCCAAATAGCTGTCTGCAATCCATGTCTCTAGTCTCTTTCCCAAAACTATTTTTTAAAACATCTTTTATTACAGATGTTTTATTACATAAAACAAACAAATAAAAAATCCCCGAAATAACACTATTGACGGCTCAGGTCAAACAAGTGAAGGACTCAATTCCCCACTGCCCACCTTGAGTGTGTTGCCATAAAGGTAATCACAATATCAAGCAATATTGCTTTCACCTTCCCAACTGATAGCTTTCATTGTGGCTAATGCTTTTTTGACAGGATTCATATGATATAGGACTTCAATAAGTCAGTCTTCTGAAGCAATTTCTTCCACTGTTCCACTACAGTCGGCCTTTTTCATCCAAGAAACACCATGATATCTGTTGGAGGACAGATGTGTCTGGCCTCCACAATAAACACTTGGCTTGGCAGGATAGAGCAATGCATATTCCAGATACACATTTTTCCACTCTTGTTTTAACAGTCACATAGGCTTTTCCCATTGCCCAGTGAGAACAGGTCTATCATGGAGCAAAAGAAGTTTCCTGAAACCCTGACAGGAGCACCCAGATGTAAGATCTGATTACACAGCTTGGCCTCTCATTGCACAAGTCACCAGCTCCACAAGTACATCCTGGAGCATTGTCCAAGTGACCTTCACGGGAAGACTGTCCACATCATGAAACAAAGATGTATTTATAATTATCTATCTATCTATCTTCAATTTACATATCTTATCTCTGGAAACAATGCTGTTCTAACTGTATTGTGGAAGAGTCCATTTGGACACAGTCAGTGTAACCAGGGCAAAAATAATACAGAAATAAAATAATACAGAATAAAATAGTACTGAAATAGTCATTCATTATCCATATACTTAATGAAGTTGTCATGCTAAATGAATTTGGTGCTGACCCCTAGTCTTGCTCCCATTGTAGGTTTCAGGGCTGCAATTTGTTTTACTTGTCCAATCTTTCTGGTGAATTTTTTCAGATTTCTGTCCTTCTTGTGGTTTAGCAAACCCTACCTCCCATGAAAGATACAACTGAATAAAACTCTTGAGCTCTGTCCTGGGAGACATGGGCATTATCTAGCAAGGATTCAAGGCGCTTATCACTCTTACTCCCAAAAGCCTTTGTTCTCAGCGGGAAAGATTTCCCCTTAAATGATACACAAAACTTGGCAAGACCAGTCCCTCTGAAATAACATGATGATCCCAGATTTACAGGATCAGGCTATTTAGTGCTGCTCAATTTAAAATGCTGTCTTGTATCCTGAGAGCCATTTCAGCCTCCTACACCACCCTACAGAGCACAAGCTCAAAGACATCATTTAATAAATCAGCACTTTGCAATGGTATTAAACTGAAGGCAGACAGGCATGTCTTGCTGCTGGCAGACACTTGGGAGTGAAATTATGATCTTTGGTGGATCCAGGAATATTCCCTTTCAGTCAATGGGGAGTGCCTGTATTCCCAGGAACTGATATCATTAACCTTCTCTCCTCTCCTCCAAGTAAATACAGGCATCTTATTGCAAAAACAACAAGAGTAGCAGTTCCAAAAGCAATGTGCCATCACCACCTCTCTGCCATCCTCACCCCACACACCTGCTCACTCCTACCACTGCTCTGTGACAGTGCTGACACTATTTATTCAACTCTTTCAAATGCATCAGCAGTTTGTTTTTTTAAAAAATTTATGGCTCAGATGCAGCACCATAATTTAAGATATAAAAAATAAATGAAGGTTTACAATCCATGAGCTCCCATCCTCTCAAAAGTAATGAGATTTTGATAGATGTTCTGCTTTTAAACTATTGGACCATATGGATGAATGTGACAACCTACTGCCTAAAGACAGTGACCCATCTGCATCAACACTGGGATTCCCAGGCCTTGTCCTGCATGTATTTTTATATGCACTGATTGCTTCTGGAGCCCTAGTTTCCTATTTAGGTATGATTTCTATAGCAAGCAGTTGGCTTAAGTACCCTGGCTACAAAAGGCAAGTGTTCATGATGCTAAAAAACAAAACTCTGTATTTTTTCCTCTATTCCAGCTCAGCAGATCAGATGGAATAATTTCCAAGCACCACAAGGCAAAATGTAGTGGATAGTGATGTGTCCATGTTGCCTCTGGGGAGGACAGGGTGTGCATTATGGTCCTTCACCACTGGGTGGGAAGGGAAATTCAGCACTGTTTTCAAAACTTTTTGGTTTAAAAGTCAATCTTGTTGATGTTTTGGTTTTGCTTGTCTAACATCCCATTTTAAAGATACAGCAATGAGAAAAAAATAGAGTGAGGCTCCAT